ACACACAAATCATCTGCTGTGGGGTTTTGTAGATACATAAGTCTCAGCACAATTCTAGCACAAGACTTTCTGTGTTTACACAAACTGTTCCTCCTTGGAGATAAAGATTGTTATCTGAATGTGAAAGCAGACATAATTCAGCAGTTTTGAATGTGTTATGTTCTGAGTTTCAACCTGAATGTGGAAATGATATTCATAAAGAAGTATTCCCATGGACCTCTTACATTCTAAGAAGAGCAAAAACGGGTTATTTGTCTGGACAGAAAGATAAATTATGTGGACTGGATGGAAATAGTCAAAAATCACAGGCAGTCCAGAAAAAAATGTTCAGTTCTTCTTTGTATATCGTATGTGCAAGGTTACTTGAAGTCTGTGGAGAACAGTAATGCCTTGAGAAATTGGGAACTTAAATCACACATTGTTACATATTGTGCAGGAAACAGCTCTTCTAACAGAGACTGGTATAGCTTTTAATTTCAAATCATCCATGAGGAAGAGAGACCCGAGTCTTCCTGGATCCAGGACCCACAAAGTACTAAATAGATGTGTTTTGCTTTTTTTTTTTTTTTTTTTTTTAAGGAAAGGGCCAGTGTCACCTATGTGTTCAGAATAATCTGAAATTCTACTAATCATGCATAGAACAGACTATTACCTTTCCTAGCTAGGTTAGCGATGAGTATGATATAAGATTGTCTTGACTGATGTAGTGCTTAATTATAACACAAAAAAAGAGGACAGGAAAAAAATCAACTCAGAAGCATGATCTTGCAATGGGTAAATTTGTTCCCATGTTCACGTGAGGCTGAACATACACTACAGCAGGTGAGAGTGCAGCTTAGAATGCACAAATTCCCTAGCAAACGAAAATTGAAAGCAACTCCTTTACATTTCACAACTGTGAATCAGTGATCAGACTGCAGACAATTCACGCACACTTCTAAACTCCCTTTCCAAAAGGACTCCAAGGTCATTGGTTCTATCATGCAGTGGATCTAGTTGGCTTAGTGAATGATGGGAAATGGACTCCTGAAAGCTAAAAGTTGAAAGAATGTTTTAAGTGAGGGAAACCTAAGCTCCTGCGAAGATTTAGGAGCTTCTGCGTTTGTTACTTCATTCAGGAATATGAAGTCAGGAGCATTCTGCTGATGTAGAATATTGAGCTAAATGTGTAAAGCTTAAAGCTTAATTTTGCTGAAGTACATGGAGAAAATAATGAGACCTTCTCAGATACTTTCACAGGTGTCAAACCCACGTTAGGTGCCTGCTCAAAGCAACACACAAAGCCTTACAGACATGGCAAGAGCAGACAGGCTGTCCTTTGAATGAATGGTTGCAAGCTGTAGGCCTTCAGACACGTTACTCATTACAGAATACGTACTTTCAATGCAGGGACTGTGTTGGCAGGTACTCTCTAGCACTCGGCACATTGTCAGCGCTTAGCCCATAATGGTAATAAAGGATGGGGTTTTCAAAGCTGCAAAAAGAAGTTTGGGCTTCCCGTTTCCATTACATCTGTGAGAACACTAGGAGTCCAGATTTCTGAGCTGGCTTTGCAAATCTCAGCCTAAAATATGTAAGTGAGGCCTGAAAAAGGCATGGAGGCAGAATAAGCCTGAAAGATGCACTCACTCAAATTTACCAAAATGGCTTCCAAAAATTTGCCTCAGTCTTGGATAGCCATAAGCCCTTCCTCTTTCTCAAGCAGCTTTTACATCATTGGCATCGTCAAAGGAAAATCCCAGGAACCACGTGGTTCCAGGCCCAGTGATCCAATCCGTGCTGAGATGAACACTGCTGTCTATGCTGCATGAGCTGTAAGGAGTGGGATGTTCCTCCTAAATAGACCAGCTATGGTCACTGAAACCACACTGCTTCAGAAATCACAGAGGGCCAGTAAGCATTGCGCAATGGGTACAAGCCTTGAAAAGACAATGAAACCTTTTTATTTAGAAGATGTTCCAAGGCTGAAACTCTTGGGCCACCCCAGCTAATCTCTAGGAGGCAATGAAAGGCTTACCAGAAAATTTGGTTGAGGAAGTATAAGTTTTGTTTCTACCAACTAAGCGAAGCACTTATGGCTATAGCTGAACAGCCCTTAGAGACAGAATTTGTGGGCCCCTAGAATTTTTATCTTCCTAATGACTCTCTGTACTTCTTGTATGCCATAAAAACCATCCCTTTTTGCAGTTCAGCATCTCTCTCTCTTTTGATCTATATCCATTTCTCATTGATGCTAATAGAGAATGACACTGATGGGGAATATTTTTGCAGCAAGGGGAGCATAGAATTGTTATTCTGGCTAAAGCAAAAGCAATATGACTTGAGCAGAGTTTTTGAAAGGCTTTACTCAAAGCTGTGGATCTGAACCTGATATTAGGCTCTTTCTTTCTTTTTTTTGTTTTTTAATTTTCATTGAGATTATGTCCATATTTTATGCAGGTTATTGTATTCTTGTAAAATTATACTGCAACCTACTCCAGCATGTTAACAACAAAAGAAATTCTCTAGCTTATTATAAACATCTTTCAAGAAACCAGAAGCACATGTCCTCTGGAAATAATTTTGCTGGTATTTAGGTTATTACAAACATTTTCCCCAAACACTGGAATTATTTTGTAATGTTTCCTTAAAGTCTAGTTAATTTGCCTAGGTTTTCTAGAATATTCTCCTTGTGCCATGATGTGGTACCTTCCTTGGGTTGCCCTTGGGTTGCAGGACATGTCCAGAAGCTTAACAGTCCAAGTCTGTCTCTCTAGTGATTATTACCTAGTAACTATGCACCACCAATGAAAAATGATCAGCTGTATAGTTATTACAGTTGGAAGGAATAAGTTCTTTTTATCCTGCAGAAATTTGGCAGGATGATGGTACATTTCCCCCCTACCCCGAGCAGACTGAAAATTTAAAACGTGAGAATTTTTTGACAGTTAAAAAAACAGGAAGACAAGTTTGCTTAAAATCAATTGAATGTTTCATTTAGATAAATTTGATAGGTTTTTTTTTCTGTAGTTGTTACCATTTTGTATCATTGCTGAAACTTCTTTTACTTCAGCTAGCTTAGGTTTCTCACTGAAAGGTCATTTAAAAGCAGAGAAATGGAATTTTTTTCTGAGAATGGCAAGAGGAACACAAATGACAAACAGCTCTGAGGATTGTCCTACCCAGCTCCTGAGTGTGCCTTACTGACTGCCTTGAGTTTAGTTTACTTTGTCCTTTTAAGTATTGCTAGGAGAGTTTGGGGCTTGAAAACCCTTTGGATCATATTTCATGGGTGATTTTCTGACGGAAAACTAACTCATGCCTGTAGATAATGTGTTTTCTACAGGCTACAATGTCTCTCCAGGTGCACTCTGAGGTGAAATATGAAAGGGAGAAGAGTGAAATAGGAAAACAGCTGCCAGACTCAAGTCCGACAGCAAGGCATTAAAGCTGAGTCTGCTGGCTGCACACAGGGTGGGGATTATCAGTTGCATTAGGGAAACAGCAGATTTCATTGTTTCAAAAGGCTTTTCTCCTGCTGCTCTCCAAAGAGTTTGAACTGGGGTTGCATGGCAGGAAGGGAAGAGCAAATAGCTATTTGTGGCCCACATCTCTGGATTTATTCCAGAGAGAAGAAAGCATCTGGAAACAAATTTGCTTCAAGTTCAGCATATGTTAATGTGCTTTACTAATCTGCAGGCAGAATCTGAATGCTTTAACCGATGAGAGGGCTGAAAATTAAATGATTTCTAGTGTAGCAGGATGCCTGGGCACAGCGCTTAATGCTGTGTTCACCCAGCAAAGTGTGACTGTCACCTTCTGACTGTGAGTGCTCTAATCTCAGCATAGCTGTTTTCTGACACAATCACCTATGTGAATACAGGTTATTTTCATGGACTTTTAAAACTTTGCCTCTTTCTCTAGTGAGACGTGACCTATGTGAGGAGAGGCTGGCCCGGGTGCAATCCCTGCATGACCGGGGGAGCGGAGGTGAGCTCTGTACCCATGCAGCCATATTGCGTAAGATTTTAGCTGAGCTGTTCCCAAGTCACCTGGCATTGTGCCTGGGTATCCTAGTTTATACCCTGACCGTGCTTAAAAGGGCAGAGAATATTTACTGACTATTGTTGGGCTGGTTCCCAATTCTAATCCTTATCTGCAAGTGAAGCCATCACAGAGGCGCTTGAGGTATTCACAGCCTAACTTTAGGCACCCACCTTCACTCAGGAGCCTAAGTTGGGAAGTTAGTCAGCCAGGGCTCTCTCTGTGCCAGAGAGGGGAAAAGGGGTCCCCAAAAGGCAATTTAGAGCTGCTGCTGTGGCTCCCTGCTCTGACTCACCTCTCTTTCTATCGACTATATAGGGAGCTTAGCAGACCTGCCTCTTTATATAGGTAGCTAAAGTTAGTCGGGATGAAACTGTCTCTATTCCCCCAGTTATCTTGGCCAGGTACTGGTTTCTGAGGCAGAGAAAGGTATGTCCATTTATTTGATTTGTCTGGCAAAAATCCTGAGATTCTTCAAACAGAAACTCATATAAAACAGAAACTGCCATGCCAGTTCTTTTCCTTATATAAGCTATACACATACCTATTATGCCTGTAGCTTCAGTTATTGCTGACTTACACCACTGTAGGGTAGGTTCGGGTCCCATATTTCTGGCTTGAAAAATCTCAAAAGGAGTGTGATCAATACAGTTGTGATTCTGTCAGTAACTGATACTTTTCCCAGAGCAACAGATCCCAGAAGCATGTGAGAATCAGTGGCAGGTTTCATTTAAGAAAAGACTAAATTTCTAGACACAGTGACTGCAAGAAAGCTGGAAAACATAATCCAGTGTAACCTAACGCTCAAAATGAAAAGGGCCAAGACAATCCATCACTTCAAAAGGAATTACTTAAAAGGAAGGCTTGTGTGATTTTTAAGCCAACTTAATAGTTTCCGAGCCTAGAATTCTGGCAACATTACAGCAATTATGTTGAGCAAAAATATGGGGAAAATAATGTCATAGAAAACTACTTACCAGGACCAATTTTCTTTGAGGTTTCAACAGCTTGGGCTTAGGAAAATTATTGGCTATTGGAGCTATGAAAATAAATATTAAGGGATCATTTCATATTATCATAATTCACTGTTACTTTTAGTATATGCATTGGCAATTTATAAATTACAGATTAATAGCAGATTAGGAGCAAATAAATCCATATATTTATCCCCAAGTTTAACTGTATTCCAGATAACATATTTTACAGTGAAGTACAGGGCTTATGAATTAGAAAAATTCATAAGACTAAGGAATCTGAGCTGCAAAACATGGGTGTTTGTGTGCAAAAGCCAGTGCAAATACACTTCTTAAGAACAGATCACTTGTGAGCTAATGCACAGTAAACCTTTAGTTCCTTTCCTTCCCCTCTCCCGTTGGGCAGCTCTGTAAGAAGCACTCAGAAAGCATGCTCAGAAGTTTGTGTGACTGCTCCTGGAGGCAGTTGTAAATCCTCTTGGAAAAGGAGGTCCTCAAGAGCTTGATCTTTATCTGCTCAGCTTGCACAACCCCTATGAGTGCACCTGCCCTTTCTTAAAAGTGCAATGTGCTGATGTCTCTCACCCGTCTATCCCCAATGTGAGATTTCATCTCGCTTAACTTTAATCTTCTCTTTGGGAGGGGTGAATGTTGTGCTAGAGGTTCCTCTCTCTCTCTCTACCGATTATAGTGGGAGCTGAGACCTCTAGCCTGGACTAGCTGACTTAACCTTTAAATACCTGAAGTTAATGAGAGGTGAGAGCCTGGTCGCAGCAGTAGGCGCTAGCCATTTCTTCCCCCACAAGAGTGACTGCAGGGTGCTCCATGGGCAGAGTCAGTGACAGTGCGGGAGTCCTGACATCCCGCACTTTACTGTGCCTGCACAGATATGCTCTGGATTTGAAGTACTTCTGCACTCCTCTTTTCATACCTTTTGCTGGGATGGCTGGTGGCTGCTCCACTTTCTCTTTCTCTTTCTTTTTCTTTATTTTCTTGGGCTGTAAAGGAGACATGCTTGTCACGCTGGTAACTGTCTCCCCTGAACTGGAAATCAGAGATCCATGTGTGAGTGAAAAGTGAATGCAATGGTAGGAAAGATAGTTTGTCCCTGTGAGTTCACACGAACATATCACTGTCCCCTTGTGAGAGCCTCTGACCAGGGTCTTGTTTTTTGACCCTGGGATATACAGAAAAGCCTCTTACAGGAGCTTGGAAATTTCTAAGCCTTGCATTTTTTCAGCTATGCAGCCTGGCTGAAAACTCAACATTTTGTCTGATCTGTCCTGGCACAGAAAAGGCAAAATGTCTTTATAGGTTTAAACAAGACTCATTTCAGAGCATCAGCTCCTTAGAAATATGTATGACCCTACTGCTGCTTGCAAGATGATGCTGTAACCTTCTTTTCTTGAGGGCCAGAGGCACACACAGGTTAAGTGATTTGCATAAGCTCACACAGGAAGCACATGGCAAAGTGAAACCTTAACACAGTTTCTGGGCTAAAACTGGCCAAATGGTCAGCAGGATAGGAGAGTGCGCAGCATGCCCTGAGTGAGATGCAGTCCTTCAGATAGCTTCCAAATCTGTAGTTGAAAAAGCTAATTTTTTAAAAAGAGGCGAGTGCATTCAGTGCATATAAAATGGAGAAAGTGTCCCAGTTCCTTAACTGTGGTATTTCACATTCTCCAGGACCTCTGGGCTAAAAAACACTAACAGGTGTGAGAGAAGAGTACAGCAGTTACGTTATAAACCCACTCCTATCCAAGAGGGCTTCTGTGTTTGGATTATTATAGTTAATTGTCCTCTAAAAGTTTTCTTACCCTTAGCATTTCCCAAAGTCTAAGGTAGTATATCCTGCTTTGAGTATTTAAGGGCTTGGATATGCACTCAGGTTGCAGTGATTTGATTTAGTTACCGTCCATCAGCAGCGCTGCAGTAAGTGATTGCGGTAAGGTGCGCTTAGCTTGCAACTAATGAGGTAAAATTGTATTGGCTTAACTGGTAAAGAAAGAAATCTTAACTTACAGCTGGGGTGAGTGGTCAGTTATGATAACTCAAATGATGGAGGTGGCTTTGTAAGCAGCTGTCACTGAGATGCATCTGATTATGGGCTCATCCCGGGAGTGATTAATGCAATATAGTCTTGGAGATCCATCTGTTCTATGCTGGTGAGTGAGTTACACCACACAATGGGATCCCACCAGGGTCTCTATCGTAATAATACTGACAACTGAATTTTGTGAATTTTAAATCATTTGTCCTAGGATGTTGTTTTTCTCCAGGTTCTTTGAAATGTTGAAACATTCGTTTTACCTTAGTAGAACAAAATACTCAAAGTGGGCCAAAGTCTTAATGAAAGTTGTCTCAGCTGTTGCCGACAAAAGAATAGCAAACTAGCAGACATTATCATTTTACACAGCTGTAAGTCGAAATGAATGTCACTACCATTGGTGAAATCACTCTAGATTTACACTTGCATAGATTAAAAAACTGTGGTTTGCTGATTTTGCTGAGTATTGCATGTATTCAGTCCAATTCAGTCCAAAACATAAGTTTGCTGCCAAACTTTAAGTGTTTGAAAGGTAAAATGTTTTCATGATTTATAAATAAATCATGTCAATTATGTAAACTATGCTATGTTGCTCAAAAGTAATTTGAAAGTCCGCCTGAACTGTTGTGAACCCATCCCACAACAACCATTTGTTGTTACTATAAAAAATCAGAAAGTAAAATTGTTTAAAGCCAGCAGGAAATGAAACTGTCCTGCCTAGCTCCATTGCCCAAACACAGCAGACTGCAAAGAACAAAAAATACCAAAAAGGGAATGAGAATTTTTTTAATGTTTTTAATTTTAACAATCCAAGGTCGTTAAGGCAGATGTGTGGCTTACAGTTATTATTATTCTGACATTGCTTCTTTAAGCACAGTATAGAAAGGGCTTAGTGTCAATTCACTACATTAGTTATTATTCCTGCTTTGTCACTGAGAAAGAGAAGCTACAGAGAAATGTATTTGTGCCTTACACTTTTCTTTTAAATACTAGGGCTATGCAGGGTTAACTAACACTGGGAGATAGGATAACTGTACTTGCAGTCTCAGAAGTGAGCTCCTCAAATCAAACAAGGAGGCTCAGAGAAGACTTCTTGGCTCTGAAACACTGCATCTTTGTGAGCTTGTCTTGTTCTGTGGTTAAAAGGAAAGTCACATTTCTATCTCAAGCTCCTCCTCCAGCCTCCTGGCTTGTATTTGAACAGTGTCACATTGTGCATTTCTGGAAGTATCTGATACATTTTTAGAGAGCAAGAAAAAGGCAGGAGTTCAGGGAAAAAAGCACCTGTGGAAGGTGGCTAACAGCAGTTTCCCCAGAGGTAGCAACTGGTGTTTCTGGACCATACTGTCGCAAGAGCTGTCAAACTCCTGTAATTTGGGGCTTTAATATCCTTAGTAGGGTCAAGGATGAGGCCCTTTCCTCAAGGGCCTGTATGGGGATGACAGAAAATTCACCCAAGTTCTGAGAGCTACATTGATATCTTCCAAATGGGGGAGCTGTGTAAACGAGCCAAGGGAGGGCTGGGTACTCGCATCTGGCTCAGTCTGGCAGAATCTGCTTGTATGCTGTTAGATCACTACTGTGGCAACAAGGCATTGAGACGGACAACTTTCTGAGGGGAATGGTTTTTTCACCTCAAATTATTTGTCTGCAGAAAAGCCGCTGCTGAATGACCAAAGAGTTCAGGCCAAAACAAATAAATAAAAGACAGAAGAAAAACTCCCATTTTCAAAGCTATACCTCCTGGGAGTTTTTGGTTCTGAAAACTGACAAAATGATCTAATAACAAACGAGATAATAACAAGGAGGATATTTAAGTTAAAAAAAAAAAAACACACACTAGGAAATAGAATTATGCGGTTTGGAAGACCCGAAATAACTGTATTTTTTATTTAGGTATTTATTTTTAAAATGTGGGAAAGAAATGGTTTTTGGTTGACTTATTTTTCTCTTTAATTTGTTATTGGGCAAGTAGTAAACCAAAACTCAACCATTTGCTTTGTTCTACTCAAGAAATCTGAATTTAATTTTCTTTTCTACTAAGGCCATGCTGTGAGACCTCGGGCAAATCACTTAGCACTTTGTGCCTTAGATTCCAATTAAGTAAAAACACCATTATGATGTCAAGACATGAAATATTTTAAGATGCACAGGTATTACTGCAGTGGGAGCACAGACATTTCTTAGACGCTAGACTATTAATGTAATTTTGAAACTGGATTCTGCTCTGAGTTTGAAATATCACTAAGGGAGTTGGAGCTGAGCCTCTCTAATCAAGGTTGAGTTTTGCACAGCATAGTCATTTTGAGTTGCAGGAATATCATACAAACTAGTTCATCAGTTTGGCCTAATGGACGTTTAGACCGTGGCTTTTGTGTCTGAATGTGCTGAAGGTCTGAGACTAACAAATATTTCTACAAGAACAGGCAGGTGAAAAGAAGCTAGCTTGAAATGCATCCCCCATTTGGCCAAGGGCATAAATGAGATTTGATGAAACTTTTTGAGATTCTAGGTCGATCTGGGGGACACTGATAGGATTTCTCAGGTTTTGCTTTGCAGATGGATGAGCACATCTTATGCTTCTCATGTCCTCTGATGCCTCAGACTGTCACTGAACTTCTAAATGTTGTCATTGCCTGACTGTGGCACTGCTGAGACACTGCTGACATTTGGCTGGGCCTGATGCCCTGGTCTTGTGCGGTGCTATGGCCGCACTGAAGAGCAAATTCACATGGGCTATATCCTGCACCCCTAGAAGTGGCACTGCCTCACACAACCACATCTTCCCTTCAGTGGGATTACCTATAGCAGTCGCACATCTGGGTGAGCCAGAATATATTATTTACTTGGCATTCCGAGTCTGGTTTTGTGATGCCTTGAAGCACTTCCTGGGCTAAGAATGTATAGAAACAGATATTTTGCTTCAACTGTGGATCAAACGTGTTTACACTGCATCAGGGCATCAGCAACGTAGTTAGGCGTAGGCTTAACTTTAAGCATGGGAACAATTCTAATAAGTTCAAAGGACTTAACGGTTCATATTTTGAGCAGAGGATGGAAAATAAAAGGTACTGAGTGTGAAATAACTAAAAATCATGATACTGCTAACACATTGAGGGGTATTTTATTTTAAAGCCCTGAAATCAATGCACTTCAGACATGCATTTGTAGGATCAGGGCTTTCATTAGGACATTTTGCCACGCTAAAATACAATACATATTTATATCCTTATAGGGTCATGCATTACTTTTTCTTCCCGAGATTCCATTTTACAGTGAAGAAACCATATTGGGCTGTTTTCCCCCTTCTGTTCAGTCTACTGTGTTTAGTGTTTGCAGGAGTATCACTACCACGACATATATTCCCAGAGAGGCAAATTGTGTAATATGGTGAGTTTTTATCTGGCTGCCACACTCTATTTTTTCACCATTTTGACAGTCATCTTTTCAACTGGTTTCATTTTCCTCCTCTTCTTGTGTTCTCTATCAATCTACTTTGATTTCCTTCCCCCTGCCCCTTTCTCTTTTGTTTTCTAATATCAGCTTTGTCCCAGGAGCTAATAAGGAAGGAGAAAAAAACAACATTCAGGGGAAAATGAAAATTGCTGAGCTGTCTCTGTAAAATTGTAGTGTGGTGCAATGGCTGCTCAGGGTCATAGACCTTTCAATGAATAACATCAAAGTTTCAGTTTGTACTGGCCTCTCCTGAACTCTCTGTTCCTTTATTGTGACTTCACTTACACCCTAGTGTTGGTTAGAATGAATAGAGTGACTTTTCCATGAGAATACACTAAAAATTACACTAGTTCAGGATCCAGGACATGCTATGCTTGGCTTAGAATCTATGCTAAAAAATACTTTGAGAAATAGTATCTGTGATACCTAGTGATACTGGATTTAAACTGCAAGACTAGAAGCACGTTTTATGTTACTGCAAACTGGGAAACAGCTGTTCTTTTGCATTATTTTCAGGCATCCCTCTTTAGTCTCTTTTATTTGTAAAATACTCTCATCTTTCTTTTACTGCAGTTCCAGCATAGTTGGTATCTCAAGAAGGTCCTAAGTTAGAAACCAGTTAATTTCCACCATGCAAATCAAACCTTTTGGCCATCAGTAATATAACAGACATAATGACTAATGACTGCAACAGAAGTAGTATCTTTCCCATACTTAGAATCTTCATCTGGGAATGGACCTGGGCCTAGAAAATCTGCTTTCTAGCCCTACTCTCCCCCTGGGTGCAGGAATTACTCAGTAACATTGTGGTTTATTCTGTGTAGGAGGATGGTTTAGGTCACTCATTACCATCTGGTGAGGTGGTGGAAAACCCTAGGAAGCCACACAGGATGAAAGTAGGCTTCTCCAAAAAGTAATTCAGAGCCTGAAGGCAAGGTTTGTCACTGAAGCATCTGCAGGACCTACAGCTAGATAGTCTGTGTGAATCCCCTTTATCAGGCACAGAAGGAGATGGCTATTGGCTTTCAGGCATGAGTCATGAACCTGGGACTCTTCATGTAGGCATTTTGGAAAACTTCACTCATCTTATTCATTGTACGTAGCAAAACCACAACAGAACTAGTGCCTTGGGTTAGAGTAAAGAGAAATGTAATCTCCTACCTGTTCTGGGGGCATTTCACCAGGTAATGCTTCACTGTTAAAGAAAAACAAAAACAGAAAATGTGGCTTTACACTGACAGAGGTTATGAATTACAAATGGACACTGCGGATAAACCTGTGCTCCTGAGACTGGGGAGATGCCGGCTTGTTTCAGTGAGAGAGCTTCTAATCCTAACTATATTATATTGTGAATTAAAGCCTAACTCAAAGAGATAGTTAGGCTTGGGAATGGTGGATGTACCAAACAACATCAAAAATCTGCTGTGGAAGTGCTGGGCAACTCACATGCCAGTGGTCAGCGCAACCAAAAGACAGCTTGCTAAGGAAAAGCACAGCAGGCTAGTAATTTTACTTTAAAGACTTTTGTTTCCCTTGTGGTGCCTCTGTTTATTTCCAGAAGCCTGAAATAAACCATTCGCCCACAGGAGCCACTGCTGTTCCTAATGTAGGGCTAGGCTGTGGCCTCAGGCATATAGGAATTGCCTCCCTGGATCAGATCAGAGGTCTACTCAGGCCAGTCCTGTCTCTCACAGTGTGTATGTGAGCTGTATAGATCCTTCATGCTGTTTTGAATCAGTAGCCCTGAGCAAGGGCAGCTTTCTCCCTGTATCCTTTTAGAGCGAGTGTTATGATGATACTCTTTTGTGGCTTAGCCTCTTCTGTGTTCAGCCCAAGCCCTGCTGCATGGCTATTGTGGAGAAATGCAGGGAGGAGGAGAGACTCTGACTCTTCTTATTGACCTACTGCCAACTTATTTCTCAGAAGGAAAATTGGCTGCGTCCCTGGGCCACGATGTAAAGTCTAGTCCAACACAGACCCCCTCTCTTAATTTTCTCCGTTCCTTAAAAGACCACGAAAAACAAACAACACTGCACTTGGATAATTGTGCCCATCTGTACAGGAAAATGTTCACATCTGGTCTTACATAACTTCTCCCATTCTAAGGAAATTCTAAGCCTCCTCAAAGGCTGTATTTTAGTCCTAAATGAAAAAGGGAGTTGAAAGCACTAAGAGCTGGAGCTAATACACCATGGCCAGGTCTCCATGTCAAAGTTGGCCAAGGCACGATTTCCGTCTCTCTCTTTACACAGGTACTGACTATTGGCTTTGAGTTTATGGCAACTGGAGGCTACTCCAACTGAGGTGGTTAATAGCTTAAAATCCTGGAGAAATGGGCAATGTCCTCAAGTTCAGCAAGAAGAAATCTGGATGAGAAGAGAGGACGTTCCTAGGAAACTTCAAATTACAGAAATCTCAAGCCCAAGTGAACAATTATCAAAAGTTGTTGTTTATGTCTTGTAATCAGAGCTCTCTGGGCAGAAAATAGGATTTTCCCATTGCTTTTAATGGCAAAATAGTAGCAGTTGAAATATTTTAGCTAAAATCAGAACTGCCTTTGTTCAAAGTGGCACCACAGTACCACTCAGGAGTAGTCATTCCATTGCTCCATCCTTCTTTCTCCTCTTTGAGCCAGGCTCTTTGTCCAGATACGTTCTCCACGACATGCTGCTTTCTCCTGGTAGTAGCCCTAGGTACTTTCTGGGGGAATACAATCAGCTGCAATATCCTATCCCATTGACAATGGAGACTTAAGGCACTGGTGCTTTGGCTCCCATTTTGATTTTAATCCAAAAGATTTCAATCTTACACGGAACTTCGGTTTTCAGACCTTTAGTTTTTCGGCCAAGAGTCTATCATTTTTTTTTGCAAAGGAGATGATGCTCATGAACATTAGAATACTTTTGACCATCTCTAGGTCTGTGTTATGTTGCCCTGCCCTAGAGAGGATTCTTCAAGCCTTGGAACCAGGGATTATGAAGAGCCGCCTCTCCTGTAACAAAAGCATGGGCACAGGCTTCTATCAAAACCACGGAAGGTTTACTAGCTGCAACCATTGCTGCTTTCTAGTGTCCCATAGCTGCCGTATGCTATGGGCCATCTCCAGCTGCAGTGCAGTTCCACTCAAACTGAGGGAGTCTCATCAGTGAGGAACTGGACCATTTCACCCTTTTCACATTGGAGCCCTGAGTTAGCCACGTTTGGTCATGTTTTAACACATACGCTGCAGAGGGATCATCTCCAGCTTATCTGCTGCAAATCCCAACCCTTAGTTTCATGTAAGAGGTAAGTTTTCTCCCAGGCTGGGCTACCCTTGTAGGTGGTTAGGCAGAGATCTCCCTTGCTTTTCCCCTGTGCTTGTTTGGGTGTTTGACTCTCCTCCCTATGTGTAAGGTGGGGTTGTGGCAGGTGATCCTCCCTGTGGTGGTAGAGTGAAGGAATGGGGGAGGAAGCTGAGAGCTGATGAGGCTGAGCAGAGGGCAGGAGGAAGCTTGAGAGGGGGTAGTGTAAGGGTGATGGGTGCTGAGGTGGTGGAGGCAGAGAATAGAGGGAGCTGCTGGTGTCACTTTGCTTTGTTCCAGATGTGTTCCTGTGACAGGGTTTGAGTGGCAGGAGAGGTTCAGGAAGAAGCTTTGATAGAAATACGTCCAGCGAGGAGATGTATTTGGTTGCCCTTGGTCCCTAACTCCAGGAGAACAGTAGTGCTAGGCTTCTCTTGGAGGCCCTCTGAGGAAGATGGTGTGATAATCACTTGATCTGAAAGTGGAAGACGACTGGATGTGGAGTCTAGTTGAAGGCCCGGGTGAGGCTGAAGGATGATTGCTTTGCTGTGCTTTTTCTTTGCTCCCCTCCTCAAGGAAGGATGGGCTTTGTGATTTCACTAGAGACTCTTTTCATAGGAAGTACAAGGATCTGCCTGTTGCAGGCCAGGATGGAGATACAGAATGCCATGGACAGAGAGAAGGTAACATAACACTTGCATGAAAGTACTGTTTTGGGGAGTGATGCCTTACACTAATAGTATCAATGAGAGAGTGCTGCTATTGGCTGGCAGAGCAAGTGTCTTGAGACTCTGATCTTTGGATGGCGCCTCTGGAGGGGATTAGAGAAATGCTGAGGAGTGAGGGTCACATTGTGCTCTGGGTCTGTGTCACTGAGTGGGGACAATAGCTCCCAAGGACTGCTGCTGCCTAAGGCAGAGCTTTAGGCCTGAGCTTCCTGCCTTGGCTCAGCAGCTGTGGGGAGAAACAGCAGCAGAGGGCTGGTGGAGACTGCACCCGTCGCTGAGGCTGCTTCCTGGACTGCTCCAGGAATATTTAATTCCCTACTGCTTAACTGAACGCTGAACCAATTAATGTGGGCTCAGGAAAATACTTCAATTAGGTGGTTCTAGCTGAACGTCTTGCCCTAAAAATCTAATCAGTTGCATACTGAGTGACTCTTGGCCAAGCTTTTCTCTCTTATTTTTCCACTGAATTTGTAAGTTTTGTGTTGCCATTGTTTACTGGATGATGTTCAGAATCTAAATAAAAACGTGGTTAGGCCTGCAATTAATCAGGTAACAGGGCAGTGAAGAAAGGATTTAGCAACTCAGAAGAAAATATTTTTTCTATATTGTATATATGTATTCAATATTGTATTCTGTATTATTTTTATATTCAACTTTTGTTAGTTCAGCCTAAAGAGGGAATTTTTCTCCAAGCTGCTCATGCACTTACACCAGTGTAAATAAGCATAACCAGATGCAAAATGCAGCCCAACGTCTGCTAAAGAGCAACTAGAATAAATCAGAGCATCTAGTGCTTGTGGCTTCAGGGTGACTCACTATGACCAACATACTTAAATGTGGGTACTCTCCTGGCACAAAACTTTTGTCCACTTAGCAGGGTAGGAAGAGTAACACTGAATTTGTTTCTTCCTCTTGGCAAGCAGAGTTCTTGGGTTACATTAGAAGGAGAGTTACTCTACTGAGCGTGCTACCAGAAAAATGGAGCCACAGCCTGAATTAAGGTTGTGGTCAGGCACAAGCTTCTGTATAAATCTGCGTTTTGTCTTGCATGTCTTCTTCCTTCTATGTCTGAGACACGCGTTCCTTCATGGCACATGTGTTAGTGCTGAAGAGGTAACAAAGCCGTGATTCTCTCCTGTCATTAATATGACAAATGACTAAGCAAACTCTTTTTCAAACCTTCTGTTAGGAGAAAATGTAAGAACCATCTCTGAACATGCTGGCTGCTAGGCATGCTGGTATCTTATCCTCACAGCTTTTAACTATGTGCAGTGTCTTCACGTGAACCACTCTTATACTGAAATGAAAGTAGGGTTTGTGCTGGTTACTTCACAGATCTGAAATAACATTTTTGATTAGAACAGGGCTGCTTCCTTGCTTTTTGAGCCTCTTTGAAAAAAACCCTCTCTGAGGAAGAGAAGAATGAAATGGCAATCCATGATCTTGAAATATTATTGTGAAAATGTACATCTGAATCATGAGATGATACTTCAGGCCCAAAGAATACCATAAACAAGAGAAGTAATAGCTCCTTCCCTCCCCTCCAGCTTCCCCCAGAATATTGACAGCTATTCAAGAAGGGATAAGAAAACAAAATAGAAGCAAACCTCCTTGAAGCCCCTCTAAACATGTCAGCAGAATATATGTCATTCATGCAAAATGTTAAATATATCTAGTCAGAATGCAATTTAATGTTACATTGCTTGCTCTATGAAAAAAGTTCCAACAATCTTGGATTTACATTTATGAAAAGCTGAAAGATTTTGAAAAGTCAAATGCAACTGCAAAGTGAAATAGCTATTCAAAAGAAGCAAAGTGCCTTTGTTTAATTATTTTGTGGAGAAAAAAATCCATTTTCCTGGCAGAAATTAACTAATCTTTCCTACCAATAATTTTGTTGCTTTTATTTAAAATCAAGGCAAGGAGATATTTCTCTTTCCGGCATTTGCTGCATTCTCCTTTTCCCCTTCTCCCTCTCTATCAAGGGTCCCACAGTCATCAAGAATGACATTCTACTTACCTGTGGATCTCCTCTTGTTTAGAAGTGATTGACAGAGAATGACAAGCGTAAAAAGGAGGACGCTGATGATTCCTATTGAACACACAAACACTGCATACACATACAGATCTGAAAGCCAAGCAGAGATTAGACTCAACGTTGCGGCTGTATGCTTCATGCTTACAGGACAGAAAAAAGGTCTATGTACAGGATCTAAACAGACCCCTGCCCAAAAGATTTAGGGTAACATTTCAGAAGTCATTTAACCTTCTTGAAACTTTCATATGCTGTCCTGCTCAGTTTAAAATTTGGGTAGTCTTTGAAAGTGCTAATAAGTGTAGTTACAGGGGGGCTTGGAGGAGAGAGGAGGGCTGATCTTTGTTTTTTTGGTGGGGCTACTGAAAAAGCAAAAGAGCTTCAGCTGGATCATTTCCTCATTTCAAACAGCTGTGCTGTTTTATGAAAATAAAAAGGAGGTGGGGGAAGGAGAAAGGAAGGCTGTGATTGCTTCTTTTGGCAGCAGTACTGGCTTGATTCCCCCTTCCCACGCACTTTTTTTTCCTTCCCTTTTTCAACCTACAGCATCAGTATGCCCCTTTTATGGCTTTCAGTCAGGTGCCTAACACATTACTCCTGAAGCTGAAGCAGTTTTGCCACTGGAGATCAAGACAGAATATTTTATACTAAAGGAGAAGAAATTTGTAATGACTTATTTCTACCTTTTTCTAGAACTCTATTTAGAGTGCTCTGTTTAGGGATGCTCTACCCATTAATGTCTTGAAATGTCCTTAGGGAGGTGTGCTGGCTTCTTTCCTGCTTTACGAAGAAGAAACTAAACCTCAGAGGTCAAGCTTTGTAGAAAATAGCAATGCTGGAGCTAGACCCCTGACCTACAGTCGTGTGTTTCGTTTACAACCTATCTCTTCTTACAACAGTAAAACAATATAGTTTGTATATTGTGGTTTAAACAGCAAGGCTTCCCACACAGTCGATGCAAGCCTACAAGTGAACTCTCCCACCTGAAAGGCAATGCAGCGGAGCGGCTGCAACCAGCCATGCTCACGTTTTGCTGGCACTTCGTATCGGGGCGGGAGGAGGAGGGAATCCCATCTGGGGGCAGGTTTTGCATTTCAGTCTTCTGGAACAGGTATTCACTAATCTACATAGAAAATACCGCTTGCCTTGAAACTCAAGGGAGCTTTAAGATGCTCTTGCAGTGCTGACTGTGTTCAGTGAGCAGTTTCTAAGGCTACTGGGAGCATGGAGTGCTTCAGACATGCTCAGCACCTTCCTGTACAAGGGTTATTTCCCCATTGATTATAACGTATGTATGAGAAACTGCAGTAGGAGCCTTATATTCTCCTTTCTCCAGCACTCTTTGTACTTTGTCAAATGCTTTCTGAGGCAAGGCCTGAGTTTGTACAGGAACTAGCAAAACTAGGCCTGATTGGGGCACTTAATAGTTGTACTGTAGCGTTGGACTGAACTAACATTTGTCTTGTGTGCAACCAGTAATGCTAGATATATTTTTACCTTCAAAAAACTTCCAAGCTTCATGGTTTTTCTTGAAACTGGGATCATCTGAAGCTTTTGGTGAAATCACTGGGAAAAAACAAAAAACAAAGAGGACATGATGAGAACTGAAAATATGTGGCATAAAATGTTGGACCCGCTTGAAGTAAATAGTAGCTCTGCCTTGGACTTCAGTGCACCAAGATCTTACTTTATCTCATGGATAATTACCTTTTGGCAAAATGCTTTGATTATAAAATGTCATTATAAAACCATCTGCCAGCAAATCTCATCTGGTTTGGCATCCACAAGGAGTGCCATATCGCTCGCAAGACTGCATCTCTGTTAGCATCTAATTCTGGGAAGATGCAGTGAGTGGCTCTTCAATCTTGGAAAGTTAAATGCACTGAAATACAAAAAGAGGACAGAAACACACTTCAGAAGAATCTAGGCTCTAGAGTAGGGTGCTTGTGTGATTGTAAGGTCTATAACAGCTTTGTGGGGAAGGTCTGAACATCACAGGAAAGAAGCTACCATTAATGCTGTATGTTGCTGTTTTCATCTGACTCTCTGTTCTCAGTTACCAAGAACAACTGGCTCTAGGGCTGTAATTTGTGTCTCTATCACAAAAGGGGCTACTTTGGAGAGAACAGCTGACCAACTCTTGTTCAAGAGAATGGAAATTTATTTTTCCCTGTAATTACATATATTAAAGAGGCTTTTTAGCACTGTAATCTATTTCTCTAAAACTCTTAGGAGTTAAGAAAAAAAAATGAAGGCTTCCTGAGTGTTGACTTGGAGCCAACCACATAATGCACAGCTTTTTTTTTTAAGTGAAGTCATTCTAGCTATGCTTGGCGCTAAAGCAGTCCCTGCAGTCATGATAGCATTTCCCCGACTTCAGGACTGATTCTGTAGGCCTCTGATTTTGTCCAGCTTGTCTTCCTTCCAGAGCTCTCGCAGAGGGGCTTGGCTGGTTGAACTGCCCTGTAGTTCCCACAGTAGTATCCATATAATCCATTAAAGTGAGAGCACTGCTCCTGAGCTTTTTTGTTGTTGTTGTTACTTCCCTCAAAAGTTGGCTTATATGTTCTGCCCTTTCATATCTTTCCTTTTAAAGATGTGTGGGTACAATACTTGCTTATCTGCACGAAAATATGGCTTGTCAAAAATACTTCAGAAAATGCATATTTGAGCTGGGAAACAGAACACATCTACTTACACTCAGTGTCCTTGGTTAAGAGCTAGGATCTAAACAGGCCAGGCCGAACATCTTGACTAATGTCAACTGCTCTGTCACTGCTATATGAACGGCCATTGACTGTTGTGTGCAATATAGCTTAAGTTCTCAGCTGGAGTAATTCCGCTTGCTATGACTTTTTTTTTCCTGACATGTTAGAAGAAAGACTGCATGACCTCAAGTACTACCAGGTCAACTTTATAGCTGAGAAAAATGGCCGACTGAAGGACTGCATTCTCTCCTGCGCGAGGTGTGCTGTGGTTGATCAGTTGTATCAAAGGAGTTACAGGAGGAAGTCAGTAGGCTGCGTAGCATCCGAGAAGATGAGCAGGGGATTGACAGGGTATTCATGGAGACTGCGCAGCTCCAGGAGTCCCCACCCCCTGCTGCAGCAGAGTTGTCAGAGGGCTCTGTACGGTGTGTAACAGTACATTGTAACACTGTTGAAGAAGGCTGGAAACTGGTGACCTTCCTTGTAGAAGGAGAAGGGCTCTTGCTCCTCCTCAAGATTTGCCTCTGAAGAACAAGTTTAGCGCCCTCCAAGCTGAGGAGGAGCTGGGCACGGCTCCAAGGGAGGCAACTGGCCTGGCAGACCCTGTGCCGTGCAGGAACACCCGGAAGAAGCGGCGAGTGATTGTTGTGGGTGACTCCCTGCTGCAGGGGACAGAGGCACCGACCTGACCTCTTGTCCAGAGAGGTTTGCTGCCTGCCAGGGGCTCGAATAAGAGATGTCGTGGAAAGACGGACAAGGCTTGTCCATGCATCAGACTACTACCCTCTGCTGCTCTTCCATGTGGGCACTAATGACACGAAAGGCAAACTGGAAACCATCAAACGGGACTTCAGAGCTCTGGGAATGGTGGTGAAGGGTCTGGGAGCCCAGGTCATTTTCTCCTCAGTCTTGCCTGTGAGGGGAAAGGATGGGAGGAGGAGTAGACGAGTTTTCCAAGTTAACAACTGGCTGCGCCGCTGGGGTTGGCAGCAGGGTTTTGGTTTCTATGACCATGGAACCCTGTTTGAAGATCAACAGCTGATGGGGAGAGATGGGATCCAGCTTACCAAGCAGGGCACATGTGTCTTTGCCAACAGATTGGCCAGCCTGGTAAGGAGGGCTTTAAACTAGGCAAGATGGGGGAAGGGGAATGGTATAGTGACACGGTACTCAGTAAAACACCACTCAAGTCAGGATGCCTCCAGCGGGTGCATGCAGCCAGGGGAGACAGCATGGGACGTGGCTATGGAGGATCCTCTTGCACCTCTCCTG